CCTGTTTTATTTATAAATCTCCAGTCAAAATGATAAATTTGTTTCAAAAATGCATAAGTAGAGCCACAAAACTGATCACGCCTGGAGTTATGAGGGTGCTGTCATTTATCATACGCCCAACAAGGAAAACAAATCCATTTGGGTTGCAGAGGATACAGGTTGCATTTTATACTTGTATGTGTAAAAAGATAAACAGTGGAGAGAATGAGAAGGAGCACAGCAGATTTCCCGATGGATGCTGGGCTACAATTTGCAGAATCTTTATTGCTAATCTAATAAGTCTGAGAGAAGTGAAAATCATAATTAGGCCTTCAGGCTAAGCCATAAATGCCATGAGAATTAAAACACCATTCCCTGGCTTCGGGGAGGATAAGAGCAGATTGTAGAGAGCCAGAAGTGGACTAAGATGTTTGACAAGCAAGGGAAGTCTTTCAGAAGTCTGAAAAACCATCAAGAGGAAGCTCGATTTTGAAAGTAGACAACTGAAGAATTGCCACTCTTTCGTTCTGACTTCTCTCCAAAGCCTCCTTCCAAAACATAACATGCACTGACTACTTGCAGATTTCAGAAATACGGCCACCATGGCATCACTTTTCAGCCCCCTTTGCTCTCTCAGTTGTCGCCATAGTTCAAAAGTCACAACCAGTGTTAATTCTGGTTTTACTTCTTGTAGCATTCAAAATGTAGATTTTTCAGACAAAACATATGATGATCTTACAACATAAGATGAACTGTTGTAGATTAAACTACTAAACTGGCAAAGTTAACTCCACATCAACCACCTACAACAAAATGAGCACAAATAATAATTCAACACTGTAAACTAAAGTAGAATAATACATACAATAATAATGTAATAATGAAAGTGGCAGTTCTAATGAATAATATAGGTGATAATAGGATACTTGCATGTTTTTACATTAATAAGATTAAAACACTGTAGAAGTCTATTGCCATTTTTATTTAACTGAAGGATTAGTACTTCCTCCACCACTGGCAGAAAACTGGATTGTGTGTTAATAGAGCAGAATAAATAATTAAGTAGAAATGAGCTGTTTTGGAAGTGTTAATGACCTGCAGGGACGATCTCACCCCCCTCATCGACTTTTCGAAAGTCATCGAGTAATCCATTTGTACAACCCAGGCACCTAATGAACTGTGAGAGTACTGCGCTTCCCTCCCGGAGGTCAGACTTGTGCACACATGCTCCAGCTGAAGGTGGGAGGAGCGTGATGCACTGGGACGATGCACGATGCAGCAGTCCCGTCAAAACCCCCCCACCCCCCAGGTCCTTCTCCAACAGCCGGAGCACTGGTACACCTGTAGTAGGCTATCACTTTCAACAAAACGTCGCTTGGATTTAAAAAAAGGCTCCAATCTAATCCATCAAGTATGACCGCAGCCGCTGGGAAACAGAGCGACAGTGCGACATAGGTAGGTAATTTTCCGGATGCCACAAGGTAATTTCAGTTAATGAGCTTTTTGACGTGAAAAATGTGTTGATTTTGAAATGAAACGGCTTTTCTCTTTTGCTGGATGTTTGTGCGTAACGGATACCGTGGAAGCAGAGGCATATGGTTCAGGTGCACCAATTATATCCAATTTTCAAAAACAAAACAAAACAAAAAAAATCCAGTAATATTTAGGTTTGCAGTGAGTGTGATTTTGATTCGGATACCTTTATTGTAATTACGTGTTAAATCACAAATATTTAACTATATATCCCAGAGCTCATTACTAAATGGAAAATCTTCATTAAAGTTTTTTTTTTTTATGTAAAATTAACTTTTAAGTAATGTGACCTAGATGGGGAAACCTCACAACTAAAGAGCTCTATTACGACTTAACACGCTTTACTCTATACGTTACAGGGTTTTGCTCGACATCACCATGCATCTCACGGCGGTGGTCTTCATTGTGGTCGTGACAGGCATCGCCAAAGGTAAACTGAGATTCTGGTCAGTCCGCTGCAGCGACACAAATACATCTGAGTCGGTCCAAGAAAAACTAACTTTTGAACCGATTCACTCTCTACGTGAAAAGAAAGCAATGGATGAATTGTATTTGCTTTGAATTGTTTATGTCTGTAATAATAGTTGATGCAAATTTCCTGCTGTCCCTTTCCATCTGTGTCAAAGGTTGGGAATGCAACGCGAAGTGCAACAAAGAAAATGGGTTTTGTGAGAAGCCAGGGAAGTGCAGGTAATTAAAAGATTCCTTCGGTACCATGTATGCTTATCTCCATAAGTGGATCATTCAGATTTTTCTAGCTTGCATTGTGTTAACAAGTCAGTCATTTGATTAACAGCAAAAGCATTGTTATCCAGATAGCTCAAAAGCTTTGGGTTACAAAGCCTGCCCAGTCTGAAATGTTTTTCTGGCAAAGGCCACTGTATCTACTCATGAGCCAAAAATGATTCCATCACTGTATTAAGAGAATTTAGCTAATAACTGCGTAATCAAAGATAAATTGAATCTTTTGACTTTTACTTGAAGAGTAAAAGCATACAAGCATTATGCAGACAGCTGTAGAACAGCAAGGCTCTGTGGGTGGTTTATTAACAGGTCAGGGTTGTTCTCTTTTTATTTTTTCTCTTCAAGGTGCAAACCAGGGTGGCAAGGAGACAACTGTGACCAGTGCCTGCCCTTCCCTGGCTGTCTGCATGGCAGATGTGAAAAGGCATGGCAGTGTATCTGTGAGGAGGGCTGGGTGGGCAGCCTGTGTGACCAAGGTGAGTCCTCTCTTCGTCTGCCTTATAACACTTCCTGACATACCAAAGGTGAGTCACAGAGCCTCAGGGACACACAGTAAACCACCGAATTAAGCTGGAGTCAGGGGAATAATGTGGCAAACCTGCAACGTGACAGAAGAAAAGCTTGCGGGTACCCCAATGATGAAAGCCGAACACAATAGCTGGAAAAAAAATCATCATTATAAACTGCCACCCTGCTACCGAGCAAGGCACATAACATACATGTAACAAAATATAATAGCTTCAAAAATGTCAAAGTTAATTCTTTCTAAAGGTCACATTCCCTTTTCAGTAGAAACCCCTATTTAATTAAATTAAGCACGTAAGTTCCAATGGTATCTACGATGACCGTTATTACATAAAAATTACTTGCTGTCCTTCGAGCAAAGGAAGAAGGAACGAGAGAATATTAAAAGAAGAACGATTTTGGCTTCTTGCTCAGTTTGACGTCCTTATCAGCTCTTGCGGTACAGCTCTTATTCTGTTCAAGCATATGAGCTGCTCGCTGCTACAACTTGGTTGGTTGTCTCAGTTTGGTTCTTGGTGACAAGAAGGTGTGTGGTGGGGGAGTGCGAGTGAGAAAGTGGAAACAAAGGAGAGAGGGAAAAGCAGGCAGAGAGTCGTAGAGCGAGAGTGAGAGTTCTAAAAACAGCATGCTTTTGTTCCAGACACTCGGCTGTGCTCGTCCAGGCCTTGTGCTGGTAATGCCACTTGCATAGAGACAGGAGAGGGGGGATACCTGTGCATCTGTCCCCATGGCTATGCTGGGGAAAACTGCCACATAAAGAAAGGAGGAGTCTGCTTCACAAACAGGTACCAGCACCTTTAATTTGAGTTTCTATTTAAAGTAAAGGGACACTGCAACACTTTACAGCCTCATCGCCATTTGTTTATCATTAGGGGCACTAACAGTACATGGTGCAATGTCTGTCAGCTCTCTGGCAGCCAATTAAAACCCTTCACACTGTGGCTAGTCTGTATGTAGCTGGTAATGGCAGGCAGTTGGATGAGGATGTTCTTGTTTTTATACTGCACAACAAGTAGACAGCTTGTGACTTTAACAGGCAGTGTGGTGTCTGCTTGTTAGAAAATAGTTGCTTATTAATTGAGTTGCAGTTACAGGTTATTGCAGTTACTGGGTTTATGGCAATGTAAGTTCAAAGCTTGATCTTGCTCTTGTTTAGCTCTGCATTTGGTCTTCAGCAACTCGTGAGGGAAACGTGGCCCTTTAGCTGTTCCACTATATTAATGCATTTAAATGTATAAATGCATTTAAAACTAGAAGAGTTGACCAAAGTGCTGTACATCAGTCAGTAATTAATGACAAATACAAGACAAATATCAGAAATATATTTTGAAAAGTATTCTTAACCAGATTTAAAAGCTGAAAAGTAAAAATAGGTTTTTTGGAAGGTCAAAATATTTCCAAAGTTGGTGCTGCTTGGATATGTAATAGTAAGCTGCTCCACAGCTTGGGACCCATTACCGCAAAGGCACGAATGACCAAAATCACCTGATTGGAGGACCTGAGAGCTCTGCACAGGGTGTGGAGATGCAAAAGCTCAGAGAGGTCCATAGTGGAGCTAACCCATGGTACCCTAGGTAGTGTACAGTGGTTTTCCTTTTCCTAAAAGCATCTGCCAGCTGCAGAGGACAACAACCCCAGAAGAATGGTGAGGATGAACCAAAATGGTAAAGCTGTGGGTCACAATGAGATGAAAGTCACTCTAAAGCTTTGTATTTAGGAGCTGCAGATTCAGGTGTTAATTCACTGCAGGTTCATCATTAGGGCCATCTCCTTTTATGTCGTCACACTTTTCACTCACTGTTAAACTGAAACAGCGAAGAACATAAAATCAGGAATCATGAAACTGCTATTTTACCAAGTGAACCACAATTACTGTAATTTAAATCACTGGAGGGAAAATTCCTGGAAATGTTTGATTTTTTTATGACAAGAACAGCTACAGTATATGCACCACTAGTTTTGCCCTAATTTGAGGACACAAAGCACAGGTTCAGTCAGCCCTTCACGATCTCTGAAAGAACCCACTTTCATGGGTTGTCCTTCACAGCATCTCGCTTGAATTGGCACACTGTTCAAGTGTGACAGCATCTCAGAACAGAATTTACAGCAGATGCTCTGTTTTTAAAAGGACTGCTGAAACAAGTAATATTCTGTAACAAAAAAAAAAAAAAAAAACTATCTGCAAACCTACCAATCTTGAAGAAAATCTTGGCATACCATTGCACGGGGGCGGGAGCGGAATGAGGGATATAGCTATTTTTGTAGTGGCGTTAATTCTATTCTTTGTAAATCAAAATACTAGGCAAAACAAACAGTGCTCTGAAAATGCCCATTATTTGATGCTCAGTTTTTTTTTTACCTGCAGATCCCTAATTACTCAAGCTCTTTGAGAGTGACCGCTGGGTTCTTAGTCTCATCCCTTCCTGCCTGGTTACTCAGTTTATCCTGTTGTTTCTACTGTTATTTCACAATGATTTAGGCCACTATGCTCCTGGGGACAAGCCAAGCTTTAGAAATGGTTTTGCATCTCTGCTGTTGCCCTGATCTAATGTCTTGTCACAGTTTTATCACAGAAGTCTACAAAGAGTTCTATAAACTTCATGGCTTTGTTTTTTGCCCTGACCAGCAGTGTGAATTGGGGAACCAGTGTGTGCCTTTCTAAACTATGTCCAGTGAGCTCAATTTGCCACTGGTGGAATCCAATCAAGTTCTAGACACATCAAGGATATATGATCACAGTTTGAAGTGCAACAGCAGAGTCTGAAAAACTGGCAAAAGAGGGATTTGAGCCTGTGTCTCCCCTTAGATTTAGATTTTTATTATATTTTCAAAACTTATAAAATGTTTTTAACTTTGTCATTATGGGCTGTTGACTGTAGATTGGGAAATAAAATTAGCAATTCTATTTATCTGAAATTAAATCTACAACATAATGGTGTGTAAAAAAGGGAAGGGGATGAATACAGAATAGCTTCTGAAGTATTCTGTCTTCACAATATGTCAAATATGTGCAAAATATAATGCAGCCATCTTAGCTTAAGTACATTTTTCATTTTGTTTTTACTTTTTAATAACTTACTTGGAAAAATGTTTGTTTTGACATCATACATTTTGAGAAGATAGTGATGTGACCATATCATCAAAAGTCAATATGTGATTGGATCCAGTTATTGTCCTGTTTGTCAGACTTGATGAAACATCCTTATAGATATTATACAAGACATAAAACATGCCAAAAAGATTTAGGATTACTTTCCGTGCTGTATATATTTACATAATGCTGTGGTCCTCTAGCTCTCCTTGTCAAAACGGAGGCACCTGTGTGGAGGCAGATGGCTCAGCAACCAACTTTTCCTGTTTATGCCCCCCTGGATTTTCTGGAGACATCTGTGAGATCAGTGTTGACAGCTGCCAGCCTAACCCCTGCCTCAACGGTGGCAACTGTACAAATCACGGCCTGGCCTTTGTGTGCGTCTGTCCACGCGGCTTTGCTGGCTTTACTTGTAACACCACCATCAGCCTCTCGCCCTGTGCTGGCCAGCCCTGTGCCAACCGTGGCACCTGTGTTGGTCAACCTGATGGAACCTTCCAGTGCATTTGCCAGAAATGGTTTACAGGTCCCACATGTTCCCTGCAGGACAGAACAAAAGCCAGGTCCAAGCCGGTCAGTGCCAGGCCTGTGGAGCACGGAGTGTTTGCGCTGACTCCGCAACATTACTCCCTCCCTGCTCACGCCTTCCACAGGCTCCTCAGACCTCCTGAGAGAGACCTGCTCAAGATCACCCTGAAGGAGACGGTCCACTCTCCTGGCGTCCTCGTCACCCACGGTCAACTTATCTGCTTTGGCATGCTGGCCCTGCTCACCTGCCTGGTTATCCTGGGCACCACAGGCATTGTGTTTTTTGGCCGTTGTGAAACGTGGCTGGCTAATGCCAAGTACAACCAGCTTGTTCGACAGCAAAGGGAACACCTGCTGAGAGAAGCCTGCGGTGCGAGTCAGGAAGAGCCGGAACACTCTGTAAACATCATCCTACCAGAGAAGATTAGACTCACCAGCTTTGGGAGACACTATACCTCCATCTGATTAAATCATCTCCTCCTCTTCTTCAACCTCTCTAGAGGAGGTTTAATATAATGATAACCTTTTATTGGCCAAGTATGGTACACACACACAGGGAATTTGTGTCCAGTACAAAACCGAGGAAGCCATCTGCAGCACCAACTCTCTCTCTCTCACACACACACACACACACACACCCTGATGGCGGCACTATTCCTGCAAGGCACTGCTCTGGCCAGTGGGAGCAACTTGGGAGTTTCAGTGTCTTGCCCAAGGCACTCTGACATGTGGACTGGGGAGAATGGGAATCGAACCACCGACCTTCCAGTTGGGGGACGACCACTACCTCCCGAGCCCCAACTGCCATATGAATGTCTAAAAACAGCAGGAAATGCAGTGAGAGTTACGTGACTACCTATATTTAAATGTTCAGTGCACTCTCCAGGACTTAATGGACAAACATGAGACTGGATTGTAAATGTCCTTTTAATCTAAAAACTACCCATTACAAATGTATTTCTAAATTACAAAACATGTTCATGCAAATAGTACCTTGTGTTGTATTTTTAAGTCTATTTTTGAATTTAAAAACATTTGTCTTACTGTGCTGCTACAATTAACAGCAGAATGAGAAATTAATCTCGATTTAAAAGTAGGCAGTAACAGAGCACATGCAACCTAGAGCACATTTCTTTCAGTAATTGTACACATGGGTTTTAAATTGTACTAGGATTTTTATAGCCATCACTGACTAATCGATCAACAGGAAATTAATCTACAATCGATTCAGTCATTTCTTAAGCAAAAATTCAAAACATTTGCTGGGTCTTTGAGGCTTTTGGTTGACAAAAAAAAGGCACTTTTCACTTTTTTGACACTATTTAAGCAAAACAATTTGAGGAAATCCAAATAATGAGGATCATAGTTACTTGCTGCCTAACCATATTGTGCATGTGCATATTGTGAACGTGCAAACTCAGTTCGTATGTGCAGTTAAAATGTGTATTAGATATAAATATGTGCCACCAAAACAGCTGTACTCTCAAATCTTACAGCACATAGTAGGACCATATTGCTATATGTATATAGAGGTAATGTCATCTCCTGAATATTATAACATTAACTCTGTACATGTTGGTTTTAAAAGTATGTGCACAAAGATGCACAGGTTTAATTCACAGTTCTTTGAGAAACACCATTTTCTATCTTTATTCCCATCCGTTTGTATCCATACTATCAATATTGTAGCTTCACACCTTTATCTATTGATTGATCTAAAACCCATTTACAATTTTGCTGAGATATTTTTATATTTTCCAACATTGCTTCGTACTGCTAGTGTTGGAATTTTTCAAGTAATGTGTGAGACCTGAAATCAGTGCTATAACATACAGTATGTTAAATGTTACTGGCCACTCACTTCTGATGGAGAGAAGGGAGATTCATAAATATGTATGAAAAACATCCCTGTCACTCTAAAAAGATAAGAGTGGAACATGTGGAACATATTGCATATAAACTATTACAATTCATTATCTGCTAATATGAAGATTAGTGATATTTCAGACTTTACTTCTTGTCCCCCTCACTGTGGTAAATCAGCTTTAGCCCCCATGCAGCTCTTTACATGTGTGCTTGGTTTGTGCTTACAACATCCCAAGTTCAGGTTGTGTGTAGTGGATAAAACAAACAAATAGAATATAGAATCAGTTAATGCATACCATGTAATGTGGGATAGATCAATGTGTTATACTTATGTAACAGCAGCAAAGGCATTGACCTGTTATTCGTTAGAAGTGTGTGTGTTGCACTCTGAGGGGAAGTTGGGACAGTCAGAGGCCTTCTGGTTGTTCAGAACATCTTGCAGGGTGTTCCCGAAAAAGAGAAGCGAGCCTAGGGGTTGGCACAATTGGGGGAACAATTACAGGAAGCGAGAGATGGGAATAAAGTTAGCAACAGAGTTGGTTAGGCGCACGTGTACGTGAAGACCCGGGCAGAAGAGAAGACCAATGGCAGACGACCTGACTGCTTCTGCAGAGAGATTAAGGCTAAAAACTAACAAGGTATAAGCTATTATTTCTGTGTAGCTTCTTCCGGTTCTTTCAAACCAGGAACTCTCAATGAGACGAAAGAGACTGCTTTAGATTTTATAAAAAATAACCGTGCTGGTTTATTCAGAGGATCACAGGTAAAATTCACAGGACACGTCCAGAGCTCTCTCACCCCTCTACCTGCGCGCAGGCAGCAGAAAGAAGATTTCTGGACCCAACAACCTAGATAATATTAATCATTTTTGGGCTAGCCCATGCTACAAGGGGCGTCAAACCGTGACGCCACCCGATAAGGAAGCTTTGCAGCTGCCATAACGTTTAGCCCAAACATGAGGAAAAGTCAAGGTGCGTGACTGTTGTTTTCGTGGTGTGTATCTAAACAATTGGACATAACCTTACACTTTAAGACAAATATTAAGACTAGCATTACTGTTGACACTAAAAGCTCTTTTCCTGTAACCTTGGCGTGCCTGCAATCCTCACTGCAGGCTGAATGGTTACAGCAAACTAGTCACCCTGTCTGCACTAAACATTCATAGACAACAGATCTCTAATCCATATCTATCTAACTAAGAAATAACCTAACAATTGTGATCCTGTATCCTGCCCTCTCAATCATATTTCAATAATATTGTTTAATAAATGATTCTTGGTACTGCAGTAATTTTCTCTGTGCATTGAATTTACCCACGACATGTGTATTACATTGCGCACAAGTTAAAAAGAAAGAAAAGAGGATTTTTTTTTTTAATTAGTTCTACTCTGGGATCATTTGTTGTTGTACTTTTGCCAGATGATGTTTTGTTGTGTATTCACTGCTTTGAATAAAGTATATAAAAGACTATATACCTGAATACTCAAAGATAGATTTAGTCTTTTATTTGATTTACTATCACCATCTGATTTAGTCAGTTTTGTCTAGTTCAGGAGTTGAAATCCACCACTTTCATAGTCAGGCTCTCTGCTTCTGCTGCTATAGTTTTAACTCAACAAGCAGACTCAGAAAAGATCAGATTGGCTTGGCCAAGCAAATGCATGTGATGTTTCACACTGTGAAAACCAAACGATGCACACATACTGTGTACACTACCAGCTACATGCTCTGAAATATGTGGAGCATCTAGCCCCCTGCTCTGTGATGCTAAGTAAATGTATCCCTAGAGTCAATATGTGATGTTTATCAAACAGTGACTACCAGCCCCCCCCCTCCTTTGTCCCTAAAGGCAAGACAGCCTGAGACAACAGTCACTGTCTCCACCTTGTGGTTCCAGTTGAATAGTGTTTACTGCACCATCAGGACTGACGCACCAAGCAAGATTTCTATGTAACGAAAACATATGGAGAACTGTGCAAAAGTCTTAGGTCACCATTACATTAGTTGTTTTAGCAATGTTATGATGACTATATAGATATTTATTTATCCATCTATGAGAATACAGCTACCAAATATAGGAAATATTTACACATATACATACATACATTTATATATAAGCAAACTGGGTACTCAAGATGTGGTATTCAAGCTGTTCTGAAGAATCCAGAGAGGTCAAGGACAAAAACAGGAGTGGAAGACCAGGAAAACTGTCAAAATCTGATGAGAAGTTTCTCAGTTTCTTCTTTGAGAGACCTGAGGAACTCCAGCAAGGACCTGGCTCAGCATCCGGCAGCTTCATCTGGATGCCAAGTTGCCACAGTCTGAAGAAGCTTGAGCAGGAACAGCCTTTGTGGAAAGACAGCAGCCAAGAAACCACTGGGACAGGGAGAAAAGGCTGAGATGTGCAAAAGCTTGCACAGACTGGTGTGAAGATCAGTGGGGAAAAAGTATAATAGAGTCATGAATCAAAGGGTAAGGGTATTCATGCAGTCTTGGCAGAACAAATAAATAAAAACCAAAAACTAACACAACACGGTTCATGTGATTAGCCTAACTTAGTGCTAAACAGCCTAACTTAACCTTTGTGCGTTATGTATTAGTAGCCGTTCGTTACCTAATGAAATCCGTGTATAGTTTCTGTAACATTAGCTGAATTGATTGAATTACTGTAGATATTGGATGTTATTTTGATTGACAGCAGTTTGCAGCCACATTCTGCAGACACTTTGTTAACATGTCTGTTATTCCTACCTAGTGGGAGATACTGTCAACATCAGACTTTTCAGAAGTCTGAGGCTGACATGGAGGTTTTCTTCCCCACTCAGCAGCTTTTGCAGCCACGTTCTGCAGACACTTTGTTAACATGCCTGTTATTCCCACCCAGTGGGAGATACTGTCAACATCAGACTTTTCAGAAGTCGGAGGCTGACATGGATGTTTTCTTCCCCACTCAGCAGCTTGTAATTAATAATGTGACATGACTGTATGGTCATGCAGGACCTTTAAAATAGAAATATCTCAAACTGTTCCTACTGCTGCCATTTTGAGACACAAACATGCCAAGCTGCTTTTGAAGCATTTAATGACCCATTATAAAAACGTCGCACTTGTCAATTTATTGTGTGTTGTTAAATCACTTCAAAAATTACTGTAAGAATTATTCAAGTTGATGGATTTGAGATGTTAGCCTAACTGAAATAAATGAAGATGTATTAAGGCTTTCCAACATATAGAGCAGCTGATTTCTGCCCGCTGTGTTTCAGTCTGGACTTGAACAGTTCGTATAGCTCTAAAAATGTGTGAAAGATCATGTAGTCACACAGTATGACCACAAGGTGTCATCTATGGAAAAGAGAACAGAGGAAAGTCTGCTGTTTGGAGCCCAGCGTGAAGTGATGCATGTCATTGCAATGGAAACACTGGACTTTATTTTTAGAAGGTCATTCTAAGTGACTGTTTTTACATATTTGAAATACAACAACATTAACAACATTTCTAATTCACCTGAGCAAGAAATGGTTGTATTTAATATCCCTTAGTGTCATTTAAAACCAATATCATGTTTAAAAAAACAAAATATGTTTGAAAACAACAATTGTTCATCGTAACAACATGAGGACTGACAGGTAACGTTTCCCAGTTTATATTTCACTGCTCTTCCTCTGAACAACAATACAAACCATTACAGGAGTCAAGGCTCCCACATTAACAGACCATTTTCCTCTGCTTTTCCGCTTTGCAGTGACAATCACCGTTTCTTTCTCTCCACACTACACCCATCCATTTCTCACTGCAGACTGAACTTTGAAAAATGGACTGCGCCTCAGAGCCTCCTGCTGTGCTACTGCATGTCCCTGACCTACAAAAACGAGCCCCAAAGAGTTCAGTGTATCTGCAAGACCAGTAGCACTTATACAAGTAAAATGAGTTAAAACAGCATGGTTATTTAATTAACAAATACTGAATATGAGCTACATATTGGAGCCGCTACTTGGCACCAAACGCCTCATAACACCGCTAATTCAGTCAGTACCTGTGACTCCAGTGAATAAACCTTTATTCATAAGAACACCTATGCTTTAATAATGTCTGTACACCAGGAAAAAAGTCCACTGTATGAGACGTGGTCTTCTGGGTTTTGAAATGCATCTGCTGAGCCATGAAGCAGCTCATGTTGAACATGTTGAACGTGAATCTTGCAGGTTTCACTGGAAACCTTTGTGTGCTGAGGGCCCCAGCTTCCCACCACCAGACATTCATTTGTGGAGTATGACTGGGGAGAAAGGGGCCCTCACCTTCAAAAGGATGACCAGAGAGGTTTAAAAACACAGACACACAACACTTCAGCAGACCCATTCTACTCTATCCAAGTGATAAAACAAAACAGAACAGCTAAAGTTAAATCTCTCCCTCCAGCCTGTGACCTTTAACCCTTTGTTCCTGTCTGCTTCTCCACTGACAGATGAAACTCGATATCAGCGGAAAATTGCACATGAAAAGAATCCAGATTCAAAGAACTCCATTCTGGGGGTTTCTTTTCAGGGGTGCACACTGGACACACTGCAGGTTACATATCATTTAGGCAGGTACCCCTTTGTCAGCTGTCAACTCCACATAAATACTGAGTGTTTGTGAGTTAAATGTGTTCCAGATGAGCAGTAAAGTAGGGTCGCTGTAAAACCGCTCAGTCAGACTAGACCCACACGGCACTGAACTTGTTCTTACTAAAAACGAAGCAACGTCTACTTGTGGGCACTTTCATACTGCACAGCCATCACCACCATCAGGTCACCCAAATGTCTGGAGGCCGGTAGAGGTCAGATTTTCATGTTAATTGGCTGCAGAAGCTAGGATTTCTACTTCTGTGACCACAAACAACCAAGCAGAGTTTGACTGGCCAGGGACTGAGAAATGGAAGAAGGTGACCACCTTTTTTACCACCACATCTCAGATACAAAGAGAAGCAGAAATTCTGTTTTCCTGACCTGTAACAAAAGCTTCCTCTCATTTTGCTCAAATTCATTACCAATTTCAAAAAGTCAAGTGATGTTTATAGAAGACGCCCTGACTCGATTTTGTTTCAAAGCAGTGATTCATAAGAAATGTTTCATGCAAAATGTACCCTATTTAACAACAATGAGCATACTTGTATTGCCTCTACATTTCAGTTTCTAAAATCCTGTTGCGTTACATCTACAGTGATTTATGTCCCAGTGGTGACTCTGCCTTAACTCTGGAGGAAGCATCTTCATAGGAAAGGTGACTGTAATGGCTTTGTGAAGACTGAAGACACAGGGAAGCAAAGCATGGGATAATATATTGTTCCATATACAGTACAGATTGTGTCTTCTGGTTTCCTGTGTCATCTCTGTCTCAGGTAGGGCCCCTTGTTGTGTCGTCACTGTGTCGACTCTTATCTGAAGCCTCTGAAGAGATTTATTTAGTTCTTTTATGGTGACTGCTACTGTACTGCAAATTAGTTTGCAGAGGAATTCTGTTAAATGTCTCCACTCCTAACATTGTCTTTCTATTCTGGGACTGGTGTGCTAAACACCAAAAAACGTGTTTTTATACCCTTATAGGTGGATGTATGATGAAGCATAGTAGGATCAAGTGTGGTAAAATGTCAAAGGGTTAAGAAGGCACTGTGGAGTGCAAAGCACAGTTTCTTCAAAATACCTACAGTTTAATCAGTCTATAAGGTTGTAAGGGCAGCTGACCACTAATTAGACAGAAGGTACTTCATCCTGGTTGCAGAAGCCAGTTGTGTTTGCAGAACATAGCTGATACGGTGTGAAAATGACCAAATGACTTGACTCAGAAGGAAAATCATTTGCTAAAAAAAAAAAATGCATTTCAATATTTTTTATGCAAATTCTTAACTCAACTTGTGTTTAAAGATTTCTTTCATTGACTGAACTGCATCTATGAAAGTTCTGTTTTATTGTGCAGGAAAATGAACATTCATCTTTTTGTCTTCTTTGCTGGCCTGTAAGAGACCAAATTACTATAAAATTTAAATACAAAAACAGCTTCTCACATGGCAACAACAAAGCAACTTAATTATTTGAATTATGCCTGAAATTAAGAAGCAGATAAATCATTTTATTGTATGAAAAAATATATCCATTAAACGGTACAATGGTTACAAAAGTGCCGGGCAACGCAGGGCAGAGAGGAGCATCTTCACCATGATCTCCAGTATGAAAAACATCAGTGTCGGTTTTCTGGATTCATTCCGTTTAAAAACCGAACTTCACGACAATACTGACGAGCACAGTGATGCACATTACTCAACATCCTGACCGATTCATTAAAGGCGCATTTACACAAGAACAAACAGACAGAACTTTGGACACACAACATACTTCTGTTCACAAACAAACAAGGTCCAAACCTTTTGTGAGTGGATCCTAACAGGATATATAAAAGTTCAATATGAAATGAAAAGGCTACTGTAGTACAGTACATTTTACAATGTGGAACAAATTACTTGACACGACCATAAAAAAAAGAAATACAATTAAATCGTAAATGACGGGAAAATCTAACTGGAGTTATTATACTGGAAATGGCAGCATTGCTTGTATTGTATAGCAGCTCTAAACAGATGAAAATTAATCTACACCTTAATAACCAGATTACTGGACTGTTCCAGCCTTTGTCTGTATTGATCCAGCCAGTCTCTAAGCTCTGAGATCCGATACCCCTCAGGTCCTCTGCCACCCTGGTAAACTATCTTTCCATCCTGCAGTATATAAAGCCTGTCGAAATAAGCTCCGTACGCAGCGTTGGAGGAGTTTTCCATGCTGTCCGCCACGACCAGGCAGCCGGGTACCTCCAGGTGCATCAGCTGCGCAGCGTTCAGCCTGTCCTCCAGACACCGGTGTTTGGGGATTTGATATGGCGCGTCAGTGCTCATCCAGCCGTCGGAAGGGTGCGCTTCCTCGATGTACACTACTACAGAGTCTGCGATGTCTGCATTCTGCTGCACAACTCCCTGGAAAGCCTTGAGACGAGCCATGAACGGTGGTCAGGTGCAGCTGCCAAAGTTGAGGATAAGCGGTCTCTTGTCCTTTGCGTAATCAAGGATACGGCTGCGCCTTTTATCCTCCAGCTGAACAACTTCGGTGTTGGGCGCTCTGTGTCCGAGATGCGCTGCTTTAAGAAAGTCCAGTTTATGGCCGTGCCACACAGCTTTGAGGGACTCCAGGCTGAAGAGACGATTGGAGTCCGATATGCAGAGGGAAGGATCGATGGCATCGCCCTCCTGCGCCTTCATCCTTAGGAAAACCCTTTTCCTTATGCATAAAAAGTCAAGTAGCCACAATATGACTGCTACCACCAGAAAACGGGGCAGCAGGACCAGGCAGACTACTGCATTTTTAATAGCTTTAATAGTATTCATTGTCATTTGAATAACAACCCGAGTAGCCTTTTGCTGTGCCACGATCTTGTGGGTTGAAGTTGGGTTACTTGCAACTTCCCCTCGTTTTTATAGCACCGGCAGATTTGAATGAATAACACCCCGCCTCCAAACTGGGGCCGAGGCCTCACATGGTGGGGATTACCTTCTGTCAACTCCACAGCTTTGAGTCGCAGCCAAAAGTACACCTTGCATAGGGCGCGACACAGGGGTGCGTTATTTGCAGAGAGTCTGTAATCAGACTTGAAATGAACGCTAAAAACCAAATGCTGCTGCTGATGTGTGACCAGCGTTTAATTTCTCCATTATGTCACGTGTTGTAATAGTGCTTGTGCAATGATAATGGCTGTGTTTCTGGAGCACATTTCAGCAGATGCTGTCTGGCTACTTAAAGGCTCTAATGCTATGCACATAGCCCATCCCAATGTCAGCACGTTAACTACCGTAGAGGTGGACTTCCACCAGAAAGACCCTGGTACTTTTTTACTCCAAGAAGCTCAAGTCTGAGAAATCGCTGAGGTAAAAGTCCCTTGAACGAATTATGATTTGCATTTCCACAGCAGGACCGAAGCCCTTGGAAGATTAAACCAAACAGCTGACTGACGCCGGTCGGCAGCTGTATGCAGCATGTAACCTGCTCTATGATTAACACATACCAGCGATGGAGGAGAGACTGCGGGCAAAGGTGAAATTATCGCTTTTCTGCAAGTTTATACCCGTTTAACGGGTTTAACATCGGCGCACACTGATTTTTACTGGCATACAGGAGTGAAATGATCGCACTGGAGGGCCCTGCGTATTACCAGTCAGCGCCTTCAGGCCTCTCACCTCGATAGGTCTTGAAAGTGCCATCTCCTGACTAGGTACTTTTTTCTTGGGTAGAACTACACACCATAACTGAGACCTGGTTCCTCTGGTGGAAACATTCTGAATCCCTGCTCCCCAGGGAAAGTTCCTCTGCTGGAAAGGGGGCTATTGTGGCCACAACCCTTAGGCTCTATATATCAACTTAAGTAATCATTTGAAATATAAAAAAAAACAACCTGTGGTCAGAAAATTCACCAATTTATTTTTTCTGCAAAGGGTCCAAATGTGTCCTGGCTGTCACCTGAAAGCTCATAACATTTTACAGAATGTTGAAAACTGTCTCCCCAGTTGCTGGTGAGGTGCTTGAAGAGCTACTCTCTCTCTTTTTTTTTCCAAAATACTTTAAACTAATAAAAGAGCCCAAGAACTCATTTACTGATGAGGAGAAAGCCATCATACAAACTCAAATGCGTCAGGCTCGGGTTTCGGTCGGACAGAAATATGCAGCCCAATCCATACTCTACAATGGCCTAATAGGAACGGGCTATTATGGACATACTGGCACTCATTTCATTATAGTGCAGAAAAGATTTCTTCTTGCAGTCTCTATTTCCTTTGGTTTTTCTGCTCTCACCGTCTCATTCTGCACTTTTGGGCCACATATTCTGAAAACTAATGTCAGCAATGCATCTTTATTACATACATCCATGTACACACCCCACAGCTGATCTCACTCCACACTCTACTACTTAAGGAATCAAGAAACACTTTAGAAATGTCTCAGGAAATTTAGAGGTGCCTTACTGAAGGAGACTGACGCCTTAGAAACACTTTAAAAGCTGCTGCTCTCAACAGAAGCCTGAAGGATAACATCCCAAACGCCACTAAAAATCCACCTACAGAAATACACACAACTTCACAAGGAACAACAAGGACACTTCATTTTCCAGATGAAAGGCTATGAAGGGGGAATAATGCATCTTCTCATGGTAACGCTGTACAATGGTGATTTATTTTAGACATTACTGCCTGAAGTTTGTTGCATCCTTTGCCTGGTGCATGCAGCTCAAACTGAAAACTGAGCTGTCATACTGACAGACTAGGGAGAATTTCTAATAGCTCAGTTAAACCAAGACATAGAAGATTAGACATTAAGCAAGCAGTACACAAAAATAAAGGTTGAGATGCTTTCAGAGCATGGAAACAGAGAACCAACACGGATGACAAAGCCAATGTCTGGGCAATTTGTGACTGCTGGACTAAAGCAAACAGAAGTGGTGCTCATGTTACCCCCTTTTTCTCATGCTCCTGTCTGGTCTAATCTAGATTTTGCAGAGTCCTGTTATTCATTAAATTTGAACCAACCACAAACAGACCTGCCCGATTAAGTGTGGTGCAAGACCACAGGATCAAGTTAGGTTTTTGGTTGGTCAGAAACACGTCAGCTGCTTTTCCTCACACATTACAGAGGTGGCAATTTTAATTCAACTTGTTTTGTCCTCCTCCTCTGCCTACCTGATATTTGGATTTAGATATTCTTTAGCCATCAGTGCCCCAACTGATGCTTTTTGCTTCAGAAAACATTCCAGTATACCCTTTTCCAACATTTCTTTGTAAGCTTCTTTTGCATTAAACCATTGGTTGCCAAAAAAACTTAAGGCAGTTTAAAAATGAAATGCATAAAAAGCTGTTCTGTCACTTTCCTGTCCAACACCTTGCTGCCTTACAGCTTCTGCAAATGGCAAATTTAAGTGCGTGTGCGTGTGCAAAACAGGCTATCTGGAAAACAAACTCTGGTGCCATCACAAACCTATATTTCACACAAAGGCAGCCATATCCACATCATGTGTCATGTATGTGCATCTCTAATTATACTGATCTGTCCCACTTTAGACGTGTATTCATTTCCATGTAGCTAGCGTGAAAGATGCTTTTGAAAAAGTTCACAGTTGCAAGGTGGAAACTGGGGGAAGAACATTACAAAAAAGGTTTTTAAAAAAGTAATTTTAAAATTTCTCTCAGACAGGTGTCAAGTTAATTATATTTATATAGCTCTGCAGGGCCCTTCATAGTCTCGACTTCCTACCTTCTTCCTCCTACTCTACCTTAACCCACAGACATGCCAGCTACCGGTTCATGCTTAGTGTATAATAACCTCATTATGTTTTAATGATTGGTGATTCTTGTGGCTTTTGCTTTAATGTTATCTGACCTCAGCCTCTGCCATAAAAAGAGCTACCAAATACCTTCATTATTTTACTCCTCCATTGATGTTATAAATCTGGTTGCAAAATAATTATACCTAAATTTAAGGTCTAATAATTTAAGCCACAGATTCAATCACCTATCTGAGGATTACAGAGCTATATGTTGGATCAGGATACCGATACATATGGAGCACACAGAGTGAGTCTGCATAACACTAAGATGAATGTTAATGAGTGTTTGGTTTTGACCGTGTAGTGGAGAGTGTTCTGTTCAGCATCTGTGTCTGTGTTCCACATCTGGCCACGTATATTAGCCATTACTGGCTAAATGCCATTCACTGATCTGGTGTGCTTCTTCAACAAAAGCATTCCAGGTCCATGAGCAGATGGTACACCGGTTAGGACCTAATCTCCTGTTACAGTAAATCCATGTCATATTTGGCTGCAGGGTGGCCGTGAACTGGACATGTACGGGGAGTGTCATTTGTCTGCAGCTCAGTCGTCGTCATGACTCAGACAGCAGATGACAGAGTCAAACAGATGACAGAGTCATTCTCTGGTAGTTTAGATCCCTTCCTGCGCCATGTCTTTGTTTGTTTTTTGTTTTATGTGAAAAGCTCAGTGTGAATTTGGACTTTGGGGTAAAAATGGAATAAACGAAAATGCTTTTGCTAATCTGATGGACACATGCAAACACCAAAATACTGGTCCACCGGGGTAACCATACGACGACAGTAAAAACTGAGCTCATCAAATGATTCACATTTATTTTTCTATCCAATATTTGTTTACATTAGGCCAATTTGGCATCATTAAAAGTATGCCAAATGATCTATTAGTAGTACCCATGGAGGTACAGATAACTATCACTGAATTACTTCATTTCTGAAGAAGACTTGTTTTGTGAGGATTCTCAGGAAAGTCCAGAAGCATCTTTTTTCCGCCGTGATTCCTCAGCAGATTTACAGGCATTTATTCAAAAAGGACATCTGAGATATTGATATTCACAATGAGTGCAAGTCACACTGAATGACATCAATACAGGTTTCATACAGTATTTGTGTTCTAAGATTTGAGTTATTGTACGAGTCCGTTTCGCTTCAGACAGCATCCCCTTCTCTCTGCTGAATATCTACGTCCATTTACAAGCCATACCCTATAATTTCCAGATGGTTAAAATCCCATCCAGAACAACGATTTATTGCCCACTGCCCCCTGTAATGTTCATCCTGTCTGAATGAGGCTTAAATTGATATATATATGTAAAAGGTTCATCTCGGGTCACCAGCCTATAGTATTATAAAGCCAACTGACCTAAAACATTTCCATGAGTAGTAGTATTGTCTGAAAGAGACTGAGGATTCAGAAAGTACACAGAATGTTGCTGCTCCCTCTTCTTCTGCAATGGTTTAATGACATCTGGCTGCAGAATTATCTTAAGGAACCAACTGCAGATGTTGTTTGCTTGCATTTTCCTGAAAATTCGGTTAAAATTATGCATGAGTGGAAACCTCACTTACTGTATTTCTATGGCAGGATTCTTTTCTTAGTTTTATTAATGACATGGGCACTCAGAGAGCTCATGTACCTCCGCCAGGACACAACATTCGCTCATGCAAAAATGTGAAAAATGAGATCCAGAACAACACAAAATGTGTCCTAAAATCCTTGATCTGGATCGGATCCAGATCATCTTTTAGGATATGATAGACAGTTATACTGTGCATCTAACCTGAGCATTTCAGGGTTCAATCTCCATTATAGGCCAAGTTTTATATGGCCATCAGATCCGGATGAAATTTGGTCTGGTGATAGACATAGCCACCATAGTATGTGGGTCAAATTTTAAACAAAAATGATTTTGATCACTTTTGACAAAGATATGAATTTGTTCATTTTGTCCAATTTTTTGTGATTCGCCCCGCCCCCCACACACACACACACACACACACACGGAACCAAAAACAACCCCCTAGCAGAAGTAAAGAGAGCTGAAATGATT